ATTGATTTGGCCTGGATGACTCCTTTGGGGCCCGTTGCGTCGGCCGTAATCTTCACTTTTTTCGCTGCTTTACGCTCCGCACAAGCACCCATAAATGGCTAGTTGCACATTTGTACTTTGTAGCTTTTCTTAACGAGTTCCTCGGCTCGTTGTACATAACTTAACATGTCCTCTGAACTCTCGCTTGATTCTGATGCTGCCGCGATAATTGTTCAAAATGACATAACCACGCTCTTGCCGCCACAGAATGAGACGGATGCGTCACTTGCACAAGTAAAGGCTGGCTGATCATAAATAATGGACTCCTACTTGTTCCGTGTGCAATCGCATCTCGCTTCGTACCGTCAGATGACGTTCCTTAAAATCACGATGAAAAGCACCCTCAGGAACTTCCCAAAAACGTGCCCATGATCGGTATCACGCTTCCCCGAGGTTCACGCGATGCGCCACATTGAGCCGCGGAAGGAGTGTCGGGCAATCTAATATTGGTATTCGATATGCCCCTTTCGGAAATGCTGGATGTGATTATAACAAGGGTCGCGCTAGTTGGGTCTAGCCGGATAAGCGCGGCGTAATTTGGGACTTGGGGATGGAATGAGTGGTGAATAGTAGGTCGTAAGCACGAAGCCAAGTCTGAGGTCGCCTCGGCGTCGAGAAATCGGAGAAATTGGAGGGTGCTTGGGGGCGCAGCATCCTAGGGGTAGAAAATAATGCTTCTTCCCACAAATGATTCTCTAACCGAAGAAGTTCTTGTCGTTCGTCCTTGAATTTGGTGGAAGGTCCAGAATTGTGAAAATGGGAGAAGAGCACTAGGAAAGCGCCCACAGAACGATGGTCTCCCTTGGTCTCTCCAGACATAAATACCATTGTGCTTGAACTTCGATACTGGCAAACCTTGAATTCGGCATATTCACAGCCTAGATAGCCTCATGATAAACTCCACTTTCATCCAAGCACTTCTTGGAATTTCGAATCTGAGTTTCCATGTTTCTGAGCACAAGTTTAAGCAGGTGCTGTGGCGTAACACAATCATTCATAGAAACTTATCTCCTAGTGGCTTCCTCAGCGGCATCAGGTAGTTGCATATCCCTTTCACTTTACAATCAGGGCAGGCTGTTCGAGATCCGGGACCCATTGCCTCTCGGACCCACTGGGCCATCTAGGCTAAGTATACTGCACTAATTAAAAATGACGTCTATATGAGTTCTTATGTTCTTTTGCGACCCATAATTTACGCAGAGAAGTAGGTAGATTTCTCAAGTTGTTTTCTTCCCTGCTTCTCATATGTCGGTTTCGCGGCTCTAAGGTTCCGAGGAACCGAGCAGAACTCGCTCATGAGAAAAGTTCCCGATATGGCAATATTTCTGAAGCTCTCACCGTTGTGGTGCACTCCTGCGAACTTGACCTTGACCTTCCTCTACATCCGTTGATATCGTCGATGCCCAGCTTCCCATAGCCAACCTCGCTATAATCAGTGCAAAATGTCGACATTCACCACCTACGTCGATTCAGCCCAGCAAGGAGTTGCTTCGAGCTCGACAGGGAATGCGCAAACCCAGCAGGCTCCGTCTAGGACGGCAGCAGCGGAGGACGATGCAGGAAAGAAGAAGAAGACGGCGAAGAGGAGGAAGGTCAACCATGCGTGCTTGTACTGCCGTCGCAGCCATATGACGTGCGACGAGGGGCGGCCGTGCCAGCGCTGGTCAGTGTCTTTTCTCTCGCGTGTGCTTTGCGCGTACACTGCGTCTGCAAAGCCACCTTTTGTCGTTTGCGAGAGGAAACTGACGTGACAGATGCTCTCTCGTCGCTCTCCATGGTTTTCATCAATATCTTTCGTACGGGCTTTGGCGGCATTAGTATCAAGCGAGAGATTGGGCACCTCTGTCATGACGAACGGCGGCCCAAAGTAGGAGATAAGCCGCCCAGTCAAACAGCGGGTGCCCCCAACTCCGTTGAGCTAGCGACGACAACCTATGCTCCTGGTGCGTCATTATGTCAATGTCGAAGACTGCGTTCGTCATGTTCATACTTCAATAGTCACCGTCTACCAAGGGCCGCCGCCCCAACCGACCTCCGCATGGCCGATGACGATACCACCCTACATATACCAAGTGGAGAACTTTGGAAACGAGTTCTCCGTCCTCACGTATGTTCTAGCCTTGATTGTGAGGATACTCTCCTGATCTCGTGAGCAGCGACTTCTTGGAAACCTTGGATGACGGTTCATTTTTCACTCCTCCTACGACCATCGCACCTTCTCTGGTCTCCTCTGCCTCCTTTCATACGGCTAACCAGGCATCAAACACGAATTCCGCTCTCCCAGCCGCCCAGATACAGCCCACGACTATGCCCAACCAGAGCACTGTCACGGTTACAGCCACCAACGATACGGCCGACGCCAACGGTGCCGCCAATTCATCGGAAGGAGCGTCGACGGAGGCCATCCTGCCAGCAGCCACGAAGACGGAAAAGTTCCTGCTGACGGCCGCGGACCAGGAGCCTGGGTCGAGGGACGAACGATTGAACCGGGTCATCAGGAGCAAGTATGAGGCTGGGTTGCTGAAGCCGTACAATTATGTCAAGGGGTACGCGAGGCTGTCGAGGTGGATGGACCGCAAGTGAGTCTGTTCACAATTCTGATATCTTCCAGTTCTGACAGCGACTCTATAGTGTTTCGCAGGATTCGAAACAACAGATCCTCCAACCGCTGTCTGTATTACGACCAAAGTTCAGAGTACGCTTCATTCAATCTAAGCTTCATCCCTATACCGCTGATCTTTCCTTTTGTCAGGCTGTCGCTCAATCCCTTCGAGACCTTGTGAGCTCCATCCCATTCATTCCTCTTCTATATCCCGGACCGCTTCATCTTCGCCCCGTGCCCGTTTAGGATCTCGTCTTCATCGAGGAGGCGTTCGAACGGATGCTGCTGGACTACGATCGTGTCTTCTCGGCCATGGGTGTCCCTGCCTGCCTTTGGCGACGGACGGGTGAGATATACAAGGGCAATCGAGAGTTCTCTGAGCTTGTCGGTGTGGATGGGTATATGATGCGCGATGTGAGCTTTTTTCCCTTCTGCTGATTAGGAAGGTGACTTGATGGGCGCTCTAGGGTCGTCTATGTATCTATGAACTCATGGCGGAGGAATCTGCTGTGAACTATTGGGAGGTATGCACGGTACTTCTGTCGTCTTTTGTAGACGTCGTCCTGATCCCCATGATACGATAGAAATACGGTCACGTCGCTTTTGATTCAAGCCAGAAAGCTGTACTCACGTCCTGCGTGCTACGATATAAACCTGTGCTCAACTCCGGAGCGACCAGCCCCATCGTCAGTAAGGCGAACCTAGGTTCGTTTGCCTCCTTTCATCGATGATTTCTTTCTCTTGCGCTATTTTTGGAAGCCCTTTTGCTTACCGATATGCTCACGTGACCGCATCAGGCGGCCCGATCGGATCGAAGAAGGAAGAAGAGGAGCAGCCGATGGAGGAGGGCTTCATTAACTGCTGCTTCTCCTTCACGATTAGGAGGGATAAGTGGGGTATACCCAGTATGATTGTCGGGAATTTTATCAAGTGTTAGATGTGCGATAGAAGGAGGGGGAGTCTGATGAGGATCCGGAGACGAGGACGGAGGGACGGGGATGGAGGCAGGGGACACTGTTACGGACTCACTAATTAAAAGGGCGTTAAATTCAGCCCGTGTACTTTATGCTTACTTTGCTCTGATATCATTTCTGGTTTGCTCCGTTATGTCAAGACTAGAGACGAATTTCGTTGGTGAGTTCCATCTGAGCTTTGGAATCGAGGAATCGTCAACCTAACAAAGGCATTCCAGAGAAGACAATAGCTGTCGCTATTGTGCCTATAATGCAACGTATCGAGATCTGAGTGTGCTCTAAATTGCTGAAATCTTCCTATACCCAACAACATCCGTCGGGCTCAGCTAGCAGGTATGGAGGACATCATCAATGCCACCAATCGCCATTATCGATGAATTTATTCTTATACCGTCGTCGACAAAGTCCGAAGTCGGTCTTGAGCTCAATCGAAGCGCGTCCCTCCTCAGAATTGCATCGCCGAGGTCCCAAGGCATAACGGAGAAGCATCATCTGCCCTTGAATGGGATATCTGCGTTCGGAATCGTTATGCTCTCCGCGATGTCCCCCAGGATTATCCGACGGGCGTATGGTGCTCGAGCCTCGGAGTGTGTCAATGCGTGTACGCCGCCTTCGCGTAGATACTTTCCCTGATAGGTCGTGAGTTTGCTTTTGGATATTCAAGTCTCAGGAATGATACAATGGCATGTAAATGCAGGAGCCTCCTCTGAGGTCTAGTAACACCCGGCGTTTGTCCCCGAAGGGTTACGCAAAATTAGTTCAGATTCACCTTCATTCGATACCATCATACAGAAGGAGATCGACACGAATCCGTATCTCTGGTTGTGCGGGCTAATAATATAAAACAAAACGACATCATACTATACATTTTACATGGATATTCAATATTCAGACTCGATTCCCGCAACCAAAACGTCTTGAGCTCAACGTCAGGTGCTTACCTCACTCCAACTCCCTTCTGATCTCTTGCACCGCCTGACGGAACTCTTGCACTCTTTTCCAGCTCTCGTTGTACTCCTGCGGTCCGTACCCTTCAATTATCTCCAAATTTGGGAACGCGCGATCGAAGAGACGCGCAAGGCGTATCACTTGGGTGTCGGTGAGTGATCCAAATGAGGAGCTGATGCGCAGCTTCCGAAGGGCTTGATGTCCATCGCCTCGGGGTATCTCGACGTCGGCGTAGTTGTGCGTGTCACCAACACAAAGACTGACTTCCTGAAGGGCCGGACATATTTCAAGGGGTCGGAAAAGAGGACGAAGGGTCGGGGAAGAATCGTGGCAGCGGGCCGGAAGGATGAGCAATTTGAGATTGGTAAAAGCGCCCAATATCTGCTGGAGCTCAGCGTCATCCAAAGACATCGTAGTGGTGGTTATTTCGAGGCTTTCCATATTCTTGATTTGGAGGAGGGGTGCGATCAATGAAGCAGACAGCCGGTGGGAGCTATAGGTGTCGGCGGAGTGGGTAATTTTTATGGTCTTGAGTGAATGGGCGGCAGTAGAGGAGAGAACGTCGAAACAGTGCCTCCACAATGATGTTGCCCACTGGGATTGTCCGTCTTGCCTCTCCTCTATATTGAAACTCGTAAGCGAGTTGAGCTTCATGTATTTCATCGTCCGTGCAAGGGATTCCAAGTTTCCAACCAAATGCAACTGGCGCAGGTTCACAAATAATGGTTGGGCGACAGTACGAGAGGCACTTGGAGACGAGGGTGTCAGGCCTTCTTCATATTTCGATTCTTTCCTCCTTCCTTTTCCACTTACATTACGCCGAGAACTGTAGTTAGCATTGGTAGACGCAGAGGGACCAAATAGCGACACTGCCGGACGTTTTCCTGTGTCGAGCGTCAAATTGCGGAGGTCCTCGAAGTTACCCAGACCTTGAAGAAATGCTGTAGACAGAAAAACATTTGGGAGCAACAATTCAACCGTTTTGAGGTCCTTCAGTTGAATGATGGAATTTATCTCGTTCTCAATGGCTGCGTCTCCACGTAAGATGATTTCATGGAGCTGCCGGATTTTGACGACAACGGAAGAGAGAAAGGTTCCCAAAAATTCGCCGTCTTGGACCGCATTTTTGTTCAATTCGACAAGGCGAATGTTGGAAGTGAGGATAGTAAAAAGACCTGACAAATCGATGCGATAATCGTCCAGATGAGCAATTCGGACCTCCTTGAGCCCTGGGAGAAGGTCGGTGGTTTTGTGGTGGGGGATCCGAAGGTAGACGTAAGGTGAGACTGCTGGATGAGGCTTCTTCATGAGAATTATTCTCACGCGCCGGGCATGGAGGTCAAATTGTTCCCAGTCCTTAGGTGCTACACACCCGAGGACCTGATTGAGAAAATGCCAAATTTAAGTGTGCAAGCTTTCGAGAGGGAAAGGTTAAGTTGGTACGCGGCTACTCACAAGTTTGTCGTTGACCCTCTTGAGCGAGGGAAGTAACGATAGAAGGGGTACCAATGATGGTATCACAGCCCACAGAGAATCGAGGGCGGGCTCCACAAAGGCGCGACAGGTTTGAGCTGCAAGGAATAGGCTTCTCCTGGACGTAAACATTTGCTCGTCTGAATCGGATAACAGATTGCTGGCAATATGTTGAAATACATTTGACATAATATCGCGGGTGCCGATCACTTGTTTGAGTGCACTTTCGGTATTTTTGGGAGGAGCAATGGGCTCGGTTTCGGGAGGGGCAGGAGAGGACTCTTCGGCGCTCCAGAGATTGTCAGCTATAATAGCGTCAGATGTCGTATATTAATGAGAAATAACTAACGTACCGAATGGCCCTGATGACTCGGAGTTGGCAAAAACGCTCGATTTAGCAGGTTTGCGCTTCATGGTACTCTAGTACGGGGGTAGCGCTTACGGTGGAGGGAAGGGGAAACGGGAAGAAGCAAGACAAGGCAATTACAGACTACCGTCGTACATTTATATATGCAAATCAAGATATAATCTGTCTTCTTTCTTATCGATTACACCAGACGCTGCAGGATCTTGCGGCAAATTCAGCTTATTTCATGTTTGGAGGTCAGAAGACCTTCCTAGAACTCAATTATTTTACGCGAGGCAGAATCTAGCCCCTTATGTTGCTTTGATGGATTCCCTCACTGAGTCGCTTGTATATAACGCAAGGCTTGCGTCGGGCTTCTCCGAATTCCCACGATTGGCATCTTGGGCGCCTATTTCAACTGTTTGATCTTGATCATCCCATCCTCTTCAGTTCTAGTCATGAGGTCTGACGTTCAACCCGAGAACATTGACCCACTTCGTTCACCTCTAAGAAACGACCATGAGTCATGGAAAGTGCTATCCGATAGCACCCTCAGTAAAAAAAGGCATGCTTTCGTTAGTCAATCGCGTAGCGGTTAGTCAGCTGAACGTCTACCCTCGTTGTGTGCCAGTCCAGTGTCAGTCATAAGTAGCATAGATAATGATAATAGAATGTATTTCCCAAATATTTCCTGTATCAATCTTCGCCTGAATGTTCTTCGTCGTCGTCATTGTCAGTGCCCATAATCGTCATCATATCATTGAGACTGAGTTGAAGAAGTATTGAGATATCGTCGACACGAAAACCACAAACGGCTTACCAATGAACGAAGGGCTGCAGTACCTGTGCAATGGTTGCCAGCTTGACCCTGAAATCAGACGATAACACCTCGCTGTCGGAAAAGCTAGTCTAATGTTCACCAGGAAGCAGAGGAAAAGGATACAAGGAAGATACGAACCGGTAGAAAACACAGAATGAACGGCACTTCAAGAGGTCAATATCTCTGAGCGATGCATCAGATTGCATAAATCAGAAGAACTGCAGAAAACACTAACTTGTGATCCTTGTCAACACCCTTCGGCGCAGTCTTCAGCTCGCCCTCTTGTCCGAAGATATTCTGCTTTTCTCCCTTCGGATGAGGTTCGGGTTTTCCAAAATATTTGACAAAATCAGGCAAAGAGATGACGCTTCGGAGTCGTCGAGGATTTCTCAAGATGTTTGCTCTATACGGAGGTTGGCGAGAGGAAAATAAAAGAAGACAAAACACACCTAATGGTCAGTAGTTCGTTACGACCTGGACACCAAGTTCCCGCAGCAATGATGCTCTCCTTCCCGGGTTGCACTTGGTCGAGCAAGGTCACTCCTGTTGCATCAAGACAACGGGGCAGAACGCGACGCACCTGCTCTGAGGTAGGATTGTTTCGCTGGGAATTGAATAACAAAGAATGAAAAACCAGAGGGATCCGACTCACATATGATCTGAAAATGTAGATGAGAACATGTTTATAGATCTGCATGTGTTGCAACGTACAGCCTGCGAAGATTCCTTTTCGACCACTCCGAGAGAAGCTCGCCGAGAAAGCCTTCTTGTATGGCGTCTTATCGTTACTGAACCGCATCTATTTATAATGAATTTAGATTAAGCCTCGAATTTTAAAAAGGATATTTCACATCACGGTAAATGCGGTGAATGACGTCTTTAGGTGGTAGGTGAGGGATTTGAGAGTCAACTTCTATAAGAAGGTCGGTGAAAGCTTCGACGAAATCTTTCCATTCTTGCTCTGCCTGGCGGTACACGGGTTCTGAAGAAGGATCAGGTTTCGCCCATACGTGCGAGCGAAAAAGTGAATGTGTACCATGAAGTTTGAACCTTGGAGTGTGCCCAACGAAGCGTCAGGGGATGTCTCACCGGTATTGGTCAACTGCATGACGCACCATTGCCGATCGTTGCACTCGGGCTTCTTCAAATCATTCAAAAAGTCGAGCGTGTTTTGCGATATCTGGCCCGGGGGAACACGTCCTGTGCTCGGAGCCAGGACAACCTTTCCAACGACCTCAGTGCCTTCTGGGAGGTCATCGTCGTAGTCATCTTCATCCTCGTCTTTGGTCTTTCTCTTCTTCGGAGACCGGGATTTATTTGGAGAGGACCGTGTAGTCAACTTCCGCTTCCTCTTCTTCTCGTCTGCATCGTCCTCGAAGTCGGAATCCTCGTCGAGGGCGTCGCTGTCGTAGATCTTCTTGCCACTTCGCCGGTGCTCTTCTTCGTCGTCCTGATACTCTTCTTCGTCGTCTAGCTTCTTCTTAGAGCATGTAGAACGCGTCCTCTTCGTGCCGTTTCCCTCGCTGAAGAACTTACTTTCTGCCATATCTCCTTCGCCCTCGTCATCCGTGCCGTCAGACACAGTGTCGCCCAGTTTGGCTGGAAGAGTGCGCCCGCTGTTCTTTACCGGCTTCCTCTTTGTGACACGGCCGTCCTTGGATTTCAGGTGTTTCGAGGGCATCGTATGAGGAGCGAGTAGGTTATTCTGAGCGTGGTTGTAATCGTGAGGGTACAAGATGTCGATGATTAGTCAACCAAGTCGCGTAGACGGTCTTAGCTTAGACCGTCTAGTAGACGCGGCATAGGAGAGATGTGACATGAGTATCACGTGTAAGTAAGTCACACACACGTCCAGTTGCACAGGCAAAATATTACCATGCCTCACTCCTGTTTATCCAGTTTTCTCTCTGTCCCACAAAGAAGAGAGGTCGATAAAGCAACTGCGCACTCTTATTCCCCGTAACAGCTGGCTTCTCTAAGACGAAGGCTCTACCGCCTCCCGGACAGGCCCGAAATATGGCTTCGGAGCTATCTTGGGAGCTCATCCCGGACAGTGAGTCCTTGACCACTTCCATACCGCCTTCCAAGTCGATAACCGCTGCTCATGCCGCAGACTAGGTTATTGTTGAGAGGTATGTATACTGCTTCTATCCTCTTTTGCTCTCCTGGTTATAGCAGTCCAGGCTGAGTGTACGGCCCACGCGCGCCTTCCAGGGCAAACAGAGGTCTCACATGAGGGCATTAAGCTCGTAGGTGGGCCCGTCGATATTTCGGAAACCCTTAGGGCTGCTTCCTTGTCGACTTTGCCTCCAGGCAGTTCGACTAAACCAGGGTCTAGTAAACACATGCACAGGAAGCTGTCCTCAGCCACTGGTGCAAGCTCAACTCGGCGGCAGGCGCGCGGTCCTTCACATCCAATCGGAGGCAAGCACGCATGAACGAAGCAGCAAGCCCAACTTCACCTGCTGGAGAAACTCCGTAGTTCACTAGTGCATCTTCCAGCGACATGGGGTGTAGGTCATTGATTCTCAGGAGATTGCCTTGCGCTGTCGTTAAAATTCTCCATGATGAAGCGCGAACGTAAAGTAGAAAAATGCTTACCGCTAGCATCGAAGTACTCGTCCCGTCGAAACGCGCGCTCAAGCATCGAGCCCGTGAACTTCTCTCCCGTCAGCTCGATCATCTTTGCTAGATGGTCATCTTCAAGACGCCAGTCCTCTCCCCCTTCAGGAGCGAAAAGCCATCGACCAGTTAACATCTCGAAAGTCTGTTTCATTATGACTCAACTGCGCGTTCTAAAAGTCTGTTGCGACGGTGGACGGATCACGCACCAGACACCCAAGTGCCCAGATGTCAATCTTGGGGCCAAAATCGGACTGCAGAATGAGTTCGGGAGCGCGGAGGGAATAGGCGCTGAATATGTTGACTGTTGGCTGTCTTCCTGCCCATTGCGCTGTTCCAAAGTGAGATACTTTTATCAATTCCGTGGATCATGGATATGAGAAAGAGATCAAACCTTGACCGAGATCGACAAGGGTAAAATTCATGACTTCTGCGGTCAGCGGAGGAACGTCCCAGCTGAACGCGTGTGGGATGGGCTGGGAGCGTAGAATCGGATACATTTAGCCGTCCAGATTGTACTCGCCGTCGACGACTACGGGATTGGCTTCCAGATATTGAGCTACGTGCTCGTCAGTAGTAAGCGAGTCGAAAAGAATGTTGTCGAGTTTTAGGTCTAGCGGGCGCGTATATAAATTCCTTGGGTATTCAGATAGGCTTCCTAACAGCCATTACATACCGGTATGAATTATATCAAGTTCGTGAAGCTGTGTCAATGCTTCCAGGACCTGGACGAGGATCTCTTTGACGACGTATGGGGGAAGGGCCTTCTTGGGTGCACTTCGACGGTAGGCCGACACATGCGTACTAAGCAGATCCATCACGAAGCATAGATGAGAGCCTCGCGGGCCTTCAATCTCGAAGCTGTCTCGCAGGATAGGCAGCGAGTTGATATCTTCACAGGAAGCGATTTTCTTTAGGAATTCGAGCTCCTTTGTTACACCGTCATGATGCAATTTTGTCGCGTTCAGGGTGAGAACCTTTGCGGCGAGGTATTCAGAACGAAATCTAAGGGCCAAACCAAAATGCGTATGGTCAAGCTCGCAGCGTAAGTGGCGATAGGTGAGACGACATACGCTGCCCCTGGATCTTTCACAAGATAAGTGGAGGAATAGACGCCGCCACCAAGCTTTCTGAGTATCTCGTAGCGTCCCCCATCCAGCTTCTGTCCAATTATAGCCGGAAATTTGTCAATATCCTGGGTTGATGTCGGTGTCATTGAGGTGCTAGTGAAGGAGGAGTCACTGGCAGTAAGTTTCAAATTTCAGGGTGCCCCTATATGGGAAATATCACATCACGCTCTTCTTGTCACGACTGCAAATCGCCACGACAGGAAGCTCAGCCATACTCCTCCCACCGCAACTTAACACGTCTCTGGGAGCACACTTTGACCCTTGCTTTAACACAGGCCTCCTGAAGGAATGGGCCTTTCAATTTCTGCACCGCTCACAAGATCACGCGTCAAAGCCTGGACCTCGTCGAAGTTGCTGGTGGCGATCCGACAACTAAAGTTGGCAGAGGATTGGTCGGAGGTCACAGTTATACAGTTATGGGCAACCAGCATTTATCATCAAATATCATTCCCCCTCGGAAATGTCGACGCTGCGTGACAGTGTACGACATGAGTCTCAATTTATGAACCTAGCTTATACAATAGGGCTCACGCCTTGCCTTCACGTGACGTCGTGATTGCAGAGATGCAGGGATGATGGTAGAATGGTTTCTCACGAATTTTGACACTCCGAGAACCCTTGCAAGCAAAGAAACCTCACTGATCGTCACTAAGCTCCTCAAAGTTTGCTATGCTTGCCAATGCTGCTTGAACGTCTCGAATGGCAATTTCAACTCCACCGTCGGATTGCAAGTCATAGTGGGGGAACTTGTCGAAAACCATACACAGCGCCTCACGAAGTGTATGACCATTGTTCGTCAACCCGGAATCTGTAATTCGAACCCATTTCGAACCTTCGAAAGTAGTTAGCCTAAGGTAGACCGTTACTGAACGTTCTCTTACCGATGTGTCGCCGCCTCCAGAACCGATCTGGCGATACCCTGCTCCGCGTGTTGGATACTCCACTGCAGTTACTTCAGAAACAACATAGCGAAAAGACAGGAGTCTTACCCAAAGAGAGGATTATCCGAAAGATATTCATCGAGATTTACATTAGATTCGATCTTGAGGCGAAACTCGCCTGGCGAGTTCGGTGCATCGCGTCTCTGAAAACTCGGTCAGATACAACATTGCAATCGAGCAACGAAGCGAGAGATACCAGAAGGCCATTATATCTTCGAGGATCCGGCATGACTATCATGTGCCAGGACCTTGGAGATGCTGTTTTGAGATGCTGAAGGACACCGAGTAGAGGGTTCATGAGGTGGGCCGTTTCAAGCCACGTTTGCCTTGTTGAACGTGATCTGACCGTGATCTGACTCGGTGGATGCCGGTCATTTCCCGCCCCCTATTTCTGTGATCGATACCTCCAAAACTCGTTGCATCGCGTACCACAGATCATGTTACAACTCTTTTCTCGAAGATTGGAAATTATCAGAACATCTGGCACAAGGCAGAAGTGCTACGTCGCCATCAGTCCCAACCCAAAACATTCCATGGGCATTCTGGAAAGTATCTCTTCCGTCTTTCGCTTGTTGATCGTGCGCCTTTCTGATCAAGCTACCTGTAGCTTCCAGATGGCGGAACGAGAGTAATTTTCCAACTCAAGTTTGGGGATGGACCCTTAGAGAGGGTACTTAAATATACTACTAAAAATCCGAACTATCTGTATGTTTGTCTCTCATATTTGGCGCATATTTTCCTAAAAGACTAGTTCAGATATGGCTATAACGACGGGGCTGAGAGAAAAGGAAAAGCATTGGAGAGGAAAGTCCTCCGGACTCTTGGGGTTGATAATGTTGCCCAGCACGGCCATTTCCGTAGGATAAGTTTCTTCCCTGGGTGGTGTCTTTGTATTTGACGCATTCCATGGGCTCAGAATGGTATACGCTCACAGCGCTGCAAGATAAAGATGCCCCCGGAAAAGGTCTTGCTGAAGTTCTCGTCGAGATTGCAAAGGATTTTGAGAACTATGATCTTGACTCGCCTGAAGGCCTTGAAGAGGCTTGCGAAGATATACGTTGTCGCCTAGCAGAAGTTGCCGAGACCACTGTCACCGAGAGTAGGGAGAGCCTTATTTCATCAGTAGGCACATCTGAGGGTGATGAGGTGAGCATACATAACGAGGATGGCGACTCTGTGCCACAAGAGGCAGATCAGAGGGAGCAGAAAGATCTTCTAGACACCGTGCATCGATAGTACATTGAGAGCACTGTAATACAGTAGTATGGTGGACCTTTTGGAGATCCCAGCATGGAGGCGCCGGATCGTGAGCGGGAGTGGGGAGCTGCATGACGAGATGGCAAGGTCAACTTAGAATTAAATCAATGAAGACATACTGCTAACACAACGGCACTTCTGAAAGCAGGAGTGCGTAAGGTCAAATGCTGAAGGTTGAGGCCTGGGTCGAGGCAAAGAGAGAATGCGTAAGATTCGTGTGGAGTGAAACGAGGGATTTCTGACGAGGTACCTGGTAAATCCACGTTTTGTTCTCTTCTTTTTTGCGAAACTAATTGCCTCCTGCATGGTGTTGCTCCCAGGTATTCAGCTAGAACATCAAGAAACAAAATCGAATAATCAGCACGGCTGTAATTACAGGAAGATCAAGGCCTTGAGCCAAAGAGACGTACTGTTAATCATATCGACGCCTCGAACACGAGGCGAACCGACGGCATGAGATGTCGAAGGTCGAGATCTGCAAATCATTAAGAGGCTGTAAGTAGGCATGAGCGCGAGCAGAACAAGATGGAGAAGAACAGGAGCTCACAGGTGTGTCGATCTGCTAGTCTCGTGAACGTATTTTTATGCTATCCAACTTTTTCAATTGTAGGCTCCATACTGGCTAAATGAACTGAAATCCGGAACAGGATTCAGTATTGGTGAACTGTACTATCACCATGCGAGAGCTCTCGTACCTTCAAACTCGTTGCAATATCTGATCCAGGAGTGCACTTGCGGCTTGGCACTCTCCAAAGCTCTTCGTATGCGTAGTCGTCAACGTCGACGTTTCACATGCCAATTTCAAGCCTTCGCAGACGTTCGCCTGTGTTTTTCTCGACAGAAGCAGTATCGACTGACATAGCTCGATCGTCTGGGACGATCTTGCAGAGACTGGAGCCGGCATCTGGCAATTGATCAGAGGTCGTTAGGAAAGAGAGAAATGACAGCAAGAGAAATACACCTTGAACTTCGGTCCAGAGTCCAGACACGTCTTGTTCGTCGCCACCTTCGGACTCGATATACCTCGATGAATTTGACAGTGCTCAGTGTATTGACACCTTATTCTGGACGTACAGCTCAAATCTGAGTCCGCGACGCGTAGTCTCTCAAGCTGAACTTCGCTAGAAGGTCGGCATTTTATGTCTTGATCGGTAAGTTTATTTTTCGATTTTTTTTTTAAGTTAAGTGCTCCTTGTTTCGGCAACTAACCATAATTAATCTAACGATTGTCCCCGATGCAGACTGTAGCTCTTTGCACCCTCTCTCTCTGCTCGTCTGCATACTCCAAAAGCGCGGTGGGTGTCACACGACGTTTGCATGAGGAGCCTTGAGAGCGATGGCGGCGCCGCTCTTGTTGACGCTGCGATGTTGAGGAGAGATCACGTATATGTACAGACCGGCATTGATGGTAACTCCTTCCTGATCCTAGAACGCCCAGCAGGTCCAGCTACGCCAATTACACCCATCGCCGGTACTCACTGGTCCACTCGATCCACGAAAATATCGCAAGAAGACTCCGTAGGTCCGGATTTGTCTCTGAATATGCCCCTAGATATCAGAAATTCAACCTTTGACAAAGTCATGCGGTATCTGTGGACTCGCTGGCACACTCGAGTCGATTCTGCACAAGTGGGTCAGGTTGTGGGGTTCTAAATCAGGGAACCTGCGTCGGGCCGATGTCTCCAGATCAAGAATCTAGACGCGAAAATTGAAGAGGCTAAGCTCGCCCTTAGTCGACTCGTACACCAATGGTTGGACTGGATCGCGCAGAGGAATCGCCCGCACGACCCCTCGTGAACGTGGGGTCTTCGACAGGGGTTTGTGGCAAACACAACAAAGCCTGGCTCAAAGGAGGCTGCTCATCTTCCTTCGCAACTACTTCCAAGTGTAAGCACTCTTCTCATGCCGTCCACCGCTTTTAAGCGCCGATTAGCTAATCAAGCACAGCCTCACTTCGCAGGCGCTTATCTGCAAGTGATTCAGGCTCTAGCTCGCGATTGAACAGTTTGTCTCCTACACCTCGAGACGGACAACTAACATCGGTAGCGCCGTATAGATTCACAAGCGGGCTCCAGCTTGCGCTCAACGTCAACCATGGAAACACCGAAGTGGCGAAGGACGTCGCTTTCTACGCTGTAAGCTGTCCAGTCGTTCAAATTCCAGCAAAAACAGGCAGACCTGTTGCGTATAGGACCAACTGAACGACGTCGGAGACGCCATACTGGCGCTAGCTAAGAATATCTCGGAAAGCGTGGAGCTAATAGCCAAATCACTCTCCACAGAGAAGTCGGAGGATGCAGCCAAGGATCTAACCAGGGTATCTTTCCTTCGCCTTGCGTTCCCTTCTGGACTGGCTAAGTGGATATTTACAGCTGCCCAGCGTTCAGCTCTCGAAGTCTTCGGGACCTCCTTGCTCAAGATTGCAGCGAACTCGCCGCCCGTGAAGGAGGGAGGTCGAACACAAAAAGAGAGGCAAAAGCTCTCTCCGGCTGCACACGCGATCGCAGATGGGTTCGAGAGGCTCCTTGGTGGCCAGAAGGAGAATTCTCGGATGTCATATGGAAGGATCCCGCCTCATCATCGGGGATAAACGGCATACATATTGATTCAAGAAGCACTAACAGGCGGCAGAGGTATGAAAGTGCAGATAAACGACTAAATAGCAACGAAGAGAGTACGATAGAGCGACTGGGAGCAAAACAAGATCAGCAAGATAGATAAACGATAAATAAGCGATGAAGAAATGCAGCAAAAAAAAAGAGCTCGTCTAGATAGTCTAGTGGGGGAGATCCAAGAGAATGGGTATCTATGATATCAAAAAGGCAACGACGAGTGTCAAGTGTTGAGTGGGTGAGAATGGGTTGGATGGGAAAGGAAACAGCCCAGCTGGTTTTACTGGTCATTCCACTTCCCGAGAAGGTCGTTCAAGATGCGCGCCACCACGCCTGCGCCCTCCCTAACCATCTCGCGTTCTTGCGAATCCGCAATTAATGCAAGGTACTTCACCTCGAATCTGTCCGGGTGCCACTTGCGAATCAGGTCCTTGAGCCGGTCCTTCACGATCGCGCGGTCATGGCAGATATTGAGCGGGGCGACGACGTACTCGGACACCGCTTCCACCGTCAGGTCTTCCTTCCGCTTAGGGGCGGAGAAGCTAAGGTATGGCCAAGGGAAGTCGGACCATTGTAGGTGTGGGAGCGAGGAGATCCACGTCCATTGTTGATCGTGGAAGATGACGAGGTTGATAACGTCCTCCTCGCTCATGGCTGGTGCGGTTTCGCGCTCGGATTTGCAGTCCTGTTCCGAGGTGATGGACGATGAGGGAGAAGGGGTCGCGGAGGTAGGGGCGGAGGAAGTCGTGGAGGTCATAGACGAGGAAGATGAGGACGAGCTCGTCGTTTCGAGTTGGTCGAGCCGGTTGTTCCACTCGCGCTGAAGCCGCTTGCGCTGCTGGATCTCCTCAGCACGCTTCCGGAATTCCTCCTGCTGCTTCTCGTGTTTCTCCAACCGGAGACGCGCCTCTTTCTCAGCCGTCGTTTCGACCTTGGCCACCTGCAAGGTCTGCGAAAGACTGCCAGAGCGCGAGTGGACCGCGGATGGCCGGCTGGGATGAGCTTCGATCGGGCGACTGGATGAGCCCTGCTCGAACAGTGAGCCATTATACTCCTGCACGACGACCTTTTCCAGCCGAGGCTGGTTTTTGATGGCGTTCAGAATCGCCAACTGCTCTTCGACGAACGCCTGGCCGAGTTGTTCGGGGACGTCGACGTCCCACAGCGCTCTACTGTCCGCACACCACCTGCGCTCGCGCTCCTCGCGCTCAATCTCGGCCCTAACCTCTTCCTCGGCGATATATCGCAGATTCTGGACGTCTTGGTTGTATTCGTTCTGGAGACGGTAGCGAACCTCGGTGGAAGCGGGCACATTTTCGGAGAGTTTGCGATGGTAGGCCGTGCGCGCGTCTTTCAGCATAACATCGAGGTTCTTCATGACGCGCTCGCGGATCTGGGTCTTCCATGGCGCGGAGACGTCGTAGCTGGCACTGCGAATGTGGCTCATTGCGATTTTCTGGGGAAGATAAAGGTCTTGAACATCGATACAGCGGAGAGACGACTTGAATACCAACAAGGTTGTGCTACGAATGCTTTTCAGGTCGTTTGATGGTCTGCACGAGACGTTTTTGCTGGCGACAGAGAAAGTCGTTAACGCTCTGCGGTTTCTGCCAGCGAAGGGATGCTTACTTTTGGGGTATTAGTATACGATCATGCAGGTGAATAACAGAGGGAAAGCCAAAGGTGAATCTAGCAAGAAATCATGGGCTTATATAGAAGACTGTCGAAGGCCCAGATTTCCGTCGAGGAGGGTGTAGGGTTTTTTTTATTTGGCCTTGCTTGAGATTGATCATGTAAGGGTTTGAGCGCAGCCGTTTCGCCGACGGAACGTCGCCTTGCCGCCATCGGGCGCTTTGAAGGAGGTAGTTCGCGCTGAATGTGATTGTGTATAGTCATGGAGTGAAGAGAAAAAGGGTTTGTTGCAGTGATGTTATTACATCCAGGAACTGTAGTGACTAGAATGTGATTCCACGTGACGCCTTCATTTAGACGCGTCGCGTCGTGGGACGCTTCTGATAGGGGCCATTTAGGCTGCGAACGCTTTCTTGAGCGCCGCCGCTGCATCAGAAATCAGTTTCCGGCCAATTTGGAGGGCTCTTAACCTGACTATCAGCTGGATGATTCTAAGAAGAAGAGAATAGCTTACCCTAAGATACGATTGGAATTTTGACACTTTGGTTAGCTCCTGTCAGACAGATCAGCTAGAACTCACCATCCATAGCCATGATCGGATGCGGAGCACCCTTATACACTTCAATCTCAACTTCAACGCCCGCCTTCCTCATCCTCTCACCATATTGAATACCTTCATCACGCAAAATGTCCAGCTCCGCGACGGCAATCCATGCCTTTGGAAGCCGCGCGACGAGATTGTCTGGCGCAAAGATCGGCGACGCGTCCCACTTCCTCCAATCCGCCTCGTTAGGGAGGTAGTTCCGCCGAAACCACATCATCCTGTCAGGAGACAACCACGGCGTCAGCTGGTTCCCCTTCCATGATGTCTCGATCGACGCGGTGTTGTCGGTCACCGGAACGACTAGAAGCTGGAACATGAAGACGCTGGGAAGATCTTGCTCAACAGTTTTGAGTGCGAGGACGGTGGCGAGATTGCCTCCGCTGAGTAGAGAATTAGTTTGATATTAATATTGATTAAGAGGACTGAACAAGACAGACCTAGAAGACCCGCCGACAGCGATTTTATTTGGATTGGTTACCAAATCACGTTGGGCGTTCGCGACTATCCAATGAAGGGTGTCGATGGCGTCCTCGACAGCTGTTGGGTAAAGATTTTCCGGTGCTAGACGGTAGTCCACGGATATCACAACGCAGTTCGCGTCTATAGAAAGGCCACAACGAAATCAGAAAAGAGTGACATAACCTTCCAACCTCCGCACGCATACTCACGAACGCACATATGGGTGCAGAACGTTGCTTCGCTGCCTATATTTCCCAGCGTCCATCCGCCTATAGATCCATCAGCTCAATAACAATTCACGAAGAAACTCAAGGGCTTACCTCCATGACGAGGA